GAAAGACACAGGTAACTGGGGCTTTAGGATCAGGTGAAACTTCTGGAAGAGAAGTCATGTGGTCAGGGTCTTGAAGAGGAGGTGGACTACGAGAAGGGAGCTGATGAGGCAAGGAGCGGCACGGACAGGTCAAAGACGTCAGGCAGGGTTGGCGTTGGCGTGTATCCACGCACCCTGCTCTCCAGAACATGTGGCAGCAGAGAGAGGGAGGGCAGAGAGCAAGATGGGGGTCAGGCGGAGGAGCACCCTGCATGGGATACCAAGGAGTTTGGAATGTGTCCTGCATGTAAAGAGGCAGGGAGAGTTTGAATCAGGGAATGATGACAGGAGGAGGTTGTATTTAAAGAAGATACTTCTGGAGGAGAAAGTAGAAGAAGCAGAGGGAGAATATTTAGAAAGCGCCGCTGTACTGGTCTAAGAAATAACAACAGCCCGAATAGGAGAAAGTGAAGAAGCAAAGAGACAGTGGAGTTCAGTGGGCAGGGCTGGGGTGGGGAGGGTCAACATGAGTAAAAGGAAAATTGAAGCAGGGAGAAATAAATAGGATCCCAAGTTTTCTATTTCGGTTGTTTCAAAGGATAGCATTCCCTTAACTGAGAAAGGAAACAGGGAGGCCAGAAGTGCATTGATAGGTAGGAAGATGATAAATTTAGCTTGGGTCACGTGGACGTTGAGGTGGCAATTAGACGAGTGTGGGGAGATTCTGTTACCCTGTTGCTAATAAAAGTGTGGTGCTTGGCCGGAGGGATCACAGCTACAGGTGTAAATCTGGGAGTGAGTTTTGCTGAGGCGGTGGAGTCGATGAGTAAACTCAAGAAATGTTAGGCAAGTAGGAGCAGAACAACACTCGTGACATTTTTATAATTGCGAAGTTGGCAGAAAGGAAAAGCTTGAAAACGAGGAAAGCAGGAGCCAAGGACGGAGAGCGGAGGTCTGGAAAACACTTACTGACCGGCAGACGAGAGCGGTTCCCTTCCTTGTGTTTTAAATGGTCTTGGTTAACGTGCCCAGCCACCCACTCTTCCCACCTGGAATTCACACCCCACGACGGGGTGGGTTTAGAAGGCAGTGACCGGGAAGGTGCTTTGGTAAATAAACCACTGCACATGCTGCAAGTCCAAGGTCTTATAATGGGTGTCACAGAAGTGAAGAAAGTGGAGACTTCCAAGACCGGAGAAAGTAGTGTCAGGTGCTATAGAGTTTCTAAAGAATGTTTATTTTTAGCTCAACTCATTGGCCGTGCAATTTAAGGAAGTTGAGTCAGAGTGAATCTGTCCTCTAATCGCTTAGATGGGATGGTATTTCCCGAGGTATGGAGCGTGTGTCCCAGGAGTGCAGGGGGCAGTTTGGGATTTGACACAGGCAGTAAGTAGGACCAAAGCACGTGGTGATAAACCATCCTCCTTTTGTTTCTCTTTTCATCCTGAGTTATGTCGCTGGGGACAGGCTCAGTGAGGGCAAATGCATCCGTAACACCCAACACTAACTGATCTGTAGTTCCAATAAACTCCTTCCGGTTGTCCATATTATCTAGCTGGAACTTAACAGCATCGAGTTAACTTTAAGATACCATCTATCATACCGCCTTAATTTGGTAGGGGATACCAGTTTTCTAGGTAGCGATAGAAAGTTTGCTTTTTATGAAAAAATGTTTTAAACAGAAAGGCAATTTTTAATATATTAAGTACATGGCCATGTAGGTGACATACGTGTAGATATGGCAGAACTGAGAAAGTGGTATTCCAGTGATGGGTGTTTGGAAAATGTAGACTCACTAGAGCCCTTCCTCCTTCTGTGGCTTGGAGTGGCTGCCCTTGTTCAGCCAGGTTCGACCATGTTCGACCATGGTTCAAAATATGTTCTGGTGTGTGTGTGTGTGGGCGGGGGGGGGGGGGACCTTGGCCTCTAGACTTCCGGATCCAGACCCTGTCCTTCCCCTCAGATGTGGTTGGGTCCGGTTTTGAAGCCTCTAGAATTTTGTGAAGTGGTGTGTCCTTAGGTCTTACGATAAGAGCATTAGCTTTAAATGGCTGCTAGCATTCCTTTGAGAAATGAATTCTATGTTTCTTTGAGTTATTAGTAAATAAGACTAAGCTTTCAAACGGATAGAAGTCAGATAAAATGGCTTTCCTCTGCGAGCCCTCAATACCACGTGTCAGTGCCAGAGACTGTTCCCACACCCACACCCCAAGACAGAAAAGCACGGGTGAGTCCATTCTCCAGAGATGATTCATAATTCACCTCGCTGTTGACGCGCAGTTATTTCACACAGAAATCTCTGCTTTCGTTAGGGCAATTGACTAGAATTGAAAATGAAATTATACATGAAAATGTGGTTTAGTACTCTGAGCCTCATCCTTGCTGCCAACACCCCGCTCTCAAACCAGTCCCCCAGTCTCCTCACAGGCCTGTCTAATCAGTTCACAAAGCTCACGAAGTGTGTTCTCAGTGTGGCAACTCACAGGTCATAAGTCCTTGTACTTAAAAACACATCTTCACTCGTCTATTTACTAATATCTTCCCATCTTTAAATTTCTTTTCCCCCTGAGAAAGAGAGGGCAGGTGAAGGATTTTCTCACTGGCTGAAAGTTCTTCTAAATATTATTGTGAATCAATGTTACTCTACCTCCTAAGTTACTCTTAAAAATAGGAGCACGCCACCTCTGTGGAATATAAAAGTATGGCGAATTTCATCATCAAAATCCTAGCCAAGGATCGGGCATAAATGAAAAATGATATAGCAGGATATAGCACAGAGGTAAGGGGAAAACAACACACACAGTCTGTGGATCTGAAAATTTTGAGTTTATCACTTTTTAAAAGTTTCCACACAGTTTCTTCCCTCTGAGAAGATAGGAAGTATTTGTCACTGTAGTTTTTTGGACCATATCAGCATTAATTTTTGCTCTAACAAGGAGGATCATGTACAAACAGTTTGGCCATTTTGATTCTGTTTTTACATCTAAAAAAAAGGGATAATAATAAAAGCCAGTGTTCTGACCAAATGAATGTTTGTATGTAAAATCCTCAGGAACGTGGTGGAGACCTCCCAGGACCCTGGACAAGTGTTAATTCCCAACATCGCAAAAACACTCTCTGAACAATTGAGATTAAACGTGCACTTGATTTTGGAAGATGATCTTTTACTGCCCTTCAGAGCCTCTCTCTTTCTCCTAGTCTCTACACAGTACTAAACTTGATTTCCCGGTGTCAGTGCTTACAGATGAGAAGAACAAATTAGAAGGTGCAAAGGACACCGGGGGAAAAGACAAAGAGATGGAATAAAATAGAACTAATTTAAAAACAATGGCTATCCGGGCTGTTTGGCGGGGGGCAGGGTGGGCGTTAGGGAACAGCCCCTTAGAACCTCAGCAGTCACATAGGGCTTTTCTGTATCACAGCAAGATGTGACAAGGGCTATTCCGATAGATGACCTTGATTTGTCATGTCTAAATGAAATGATACATGCTTCGCTTATGTTATAAAACCTACAGTGCATCTTGGAAGAATTCCAATATGGAAAGAACGAAATTTGAAGTCAGAATCTTTTGTGTGTGTGTGTGTGTGTGTGTGCTTTTCTGGATAAACCCTTAGCCATCCAGAACACTCAGCCATGGAAATGAGCTCAGTCTCCAGGGGTACCACAGGAGCATGGTTTCCCTGAAGTGGCCCTTGTGTGTCTCCACAAATAAGCCCAAAGCCCACAGATTCTGTGGAAGAAGATCGCCATTTCTAATTAGTAAGTTTAAGAGATTTTATGCAGATGGACAGCCTTTTCTTTACGTGTCAAGAAAGAGCATTTGGCAGAAAGGACTTGTGGACTTCGGCGTTATCCACTCCCTCGCGTTCTCCTCCCCAGAACCAGTGTTGGGGCAGTTCACCCAGGGAGGACCCAGGGGCTGGTTCTCATGGGCGTCACCCTGCCTCTCATGGTATCACCTGTGATTTTCTGGGCAAAACATTTGCATTGGGCCTGGCTTATACGTGAGAACAAAAGCCCTTTCTAAGTTACACCCATAAGAATAGCACGAACATAAGTCAGGACACACGCAAGTGATAACCCCATTGTGTACTGACTCAGTACCACAAATATCTAGCTCAGTGAATGTAGAAGAAGTCAAGTCGTGGGCAACTGCAGACACCACAGAGAGAGAGAGCATATAGAATCCAGCACCCTCAGAGGTCAGCCAGGCAGATGCCAGGGCTGGATTTTTCAAAGAACCAGATAATGCCATTTTATGACTACTAATAACATTTTAGTTATATAAACAAAGATAAGAGTAATAAAAAATAAATTCTGCTTCGCGGTGTAATCTGATTGCCAACAGGGTTCAGAAATGAGCTTTCTCACTGTGCACGTGGCATTGTGTAATGGCCCAGTGATCACTCTGCAGCCCCCTCCCCAACCTCCCATTTCCCTTTTATGGACAGTCCTTAGTTCTGCCAGATCCATAAGCGATTCCAGGGAGGCAGGTTAAAGCCCTTTGATTGTGCCTCTGGTAGTTAATGCACCAAATGGTCTTTAGGGGCATTTCATATGCTCTGCAGCTAATCAGAGCGCCTTGGCCCGGTGATTTCCTACCTCTGTGTTTTCCACATGTTTAAGGGCTCAGTTCAAACACCAGGCCCCCAGCTTCTGGAGAGGCATGGCGCAGCTCAGTTCGGAGTGGGGTGTCTGTGCTTCAAACAGAGATTTTCCAAAGGATATCCTGTAGTAGATAAATCATTTCATTAGGCCAGGTTCCCTCTCCAAACCAGGAAGCAGAGTGCCTGTCCTGTAGGGAGGCTCTGATAAAGTTGTTATGGCTGTGCTCGGAGCACTTGTAAATATTGTCTGTCATCGGTGTCTCTTATACAGGTTCCATCGAGATTGTCTTTAAACACTGACAGGTTAATTATGTGTCTTCAAGCTTTGTCGGTTGAGAGCTGATGGGAAAGTTGTAAAATGAGTCCTTCACATAGTGCAATGACAATTGTTTTCTTCCAAATGTCTCCCCTAGTTGATCACTCCTCATGCCATCCGTGTGCAGACACCTCCTCGGCACATCCCTGGTGTGGTGGAAGTCACATTGTCCTACAAATCCAAACAGTTCTGCAAAGGGACTCCGGGAAGATTCATTTACACAGGTAAGAACCCTGCAGGTGGTGAAGGCAGAGCTGGTTTGGTCCTGGGCGTCTTTGACTTGATCTCCTGTGCATAAGTGTGCATTTTATGTTTAAATCTAGTTTCTGTTGAGATTTGCTTTCTTTCCCCATTTCACCATTTATGTGACCAAATGAATTGCTGCTGCTATTACTACTACTACTACTATTATTATTACTCATCTGGTTGTCCATGTTGATGATAGGATCAGTCAAAATAATTGGTTGGATTCCTAAAGAAGCAGCGTGAGAAATAATGGAAGGGGAAGAGGCCCTAGACAATCTTGAGTCTCTCTGTATTTGTTTGCTTTATAGAGTACGAATGTGCTTTAATGAACAGTATGACTGTCTTCCAACCTGGTCATAGCTTTTGTATTACAGACAATTGGTAGTTTTCCTATTGAATTCTGGGTTGGTGCTTTCTTCCCCTGTAAGCTGCAGCTGGCACATGGACCTGCCTGTGGTAAGAAGCTAGGGTCCCAGGGTGAACGTGAGTTCCCTCCCACTGATGGAGAGAGCAGGCAGGTTCTCTGTGGAAATCCATCAAGTTCACGGTCCGAGCACCCCATGTTTACTTTAGGAGATCCTCAGATTGTAATGTGCCAACCAAATACCCAGGGATCTATTTGGAGTGCGGATTTTGATTCAGTCACTCTAAGTGGGACCCGAGAATCTGCATTCTAACCAGCTGCTAGGGGAGGCTGCTGCTGGTCCAAGCACCACAGTGGGGCTAGTGATGTCCTAGGCCCTCTGATTGGTAGCTGTCATCCCTGCAGAGTGTGTCTCCAGGAACTGGTCCCACGTTCCCGCCTTCATTCAGTAAAGGGCTGGTGCGGTAAAGAGAAGTCTGTTAACATGTCCTACTTATAACCATACAATTCAATAGAGCAAATCTTATTTTGCTGTGACATGTTACCTCAAAGCATCTTCCCTGTTGTATTTTAATACTGGGAACAAAACCAATCATGCCTTTTAGTCTCTCTCTCTCTCCCTCAAAATTATAAAAACAATTAATGCATCCTGACCCTTGGAAATGCCTCCCAGCCCTTTAAACAAAATGCAGGTTTGGTGCCTGCTTGACGATTAGTTTTAGTTAATTGAAAATTATAGGATTGACCCAAGAGGAAAATTTTGTTTGCACTCCAATCACTTTTACAAATTAAGGAAAATTACCACAATTTTGTTTAGCTAAGGTTTCACACTGAGTTCAAGAAATTAGCTCAGCCATCTCAACAAAGTCAGCACTTTGTTAGTGAGCACTTGAAAAAATAATAGTCTATCTGGAGTTGTGTGGTGTATACAAACCAAGCATAGAGAAAGCTATGATGCTTTATAGAAGTAGGCCAAGTGTTTTTAATTAGGCTCATTGGTTCAGCGTAAGTTTTGAAGAACAATCAAACTAGCAGATTAGCTGTTTCTTTTAAAGCTAGGATTTCTTGCCATTCATTTTTCCCATGAGAACTTCCACATAGCACTTATTTTTTTTTTTTACAAGCCTCATTATGGGCCTGCAGGAAAAGGACCAATTGAAACTTCTGATACTGTAACATTCCCCCCCCATCATTCCGAGGGATGGGAGTTTTTCACAATGTTCCTCACTGAACTTGGTGTTCTGGAACATATTACAAAACCACAGAGGCCAAATGTTTTCTCTGAGGAGTTTGGACTCTGTTTTTGGCTGAAAACATTTAGGCCTCGCTGGCTGCTTATTTACTCTGCTATTAAGAACAAGAAAAGGAGAAGAAAAAGAAGAAGAAAATGCTGTGGGGTGGGAGGTACACGAGGCAATCAGGCATGATTCCGCCTTGGTGACAACGTCCCTGCCCATTAATGGTTCCATTTTGTGGTTAGGTCTCATTTAGAAGAAATTATTTTTAATCAGTGTTCAACAAAATATCCCCTCGAGCCACCTGGCCATAAAAGTTTTTTTTTTTAAATCATCCCCATTAAATTACTTAACTTCTCAAAAGAAAATAGCTTGGGACCCGTCATTATTTGGAATTTTTTTTAACCATTAAAAAAAATTGCCATCAATTTAAAAATCACATCTCGGAAAACCTGCAGCATAAGGGAATTAAGATCGAAGGTAAATGTGGCAGATTTGCAAATCTAGCGAAGTAGTTGAGAATAAGAGAGGAATCCTTGGTGTGCATGCACACGTGTAAGTGTGCAAGAAATTTATGGGAAAAAAAATACCTCTTCTGACTTGTCCTCAGACTGGGCAACAAATCTAGAAGAGTTAGTTTTTTGAGTATTCTGGGAGAGAGTGTAACCTCCCTCCCCATGTTGAAAAAAGAAAAATGTGAAGGGGGAGGGATTAGTCAGAGAACATGTACGAGTGACCTGCGAACGTGGATGACGGTGTGGGGATTGGTTGTGGGAGCGGGGCGGGGGTGGGGGGCTGGGTCGGGGACGTGAAGGGGAAACATCGGGACAGCTGTAACAGAATAAACAAGAATGTAAAAAAAATTTTTGAAGAAATTGGCATAAAAACTTCTCCACTGATGTTGTTGGCTGTTAACCGTCCCAGTGACATGACATCATTTCAGCAAAAGGGAATCTCTGTCTCCTGGCGAACTGCACACGGGACTCTTGACCATGAGCATTAGACGCCCCCACTGAGGGTCCCTTGTCTGTGGCTGGTGCTGCTGCCAGCTCCTGCGACACACACAGCTCACCTGTCTGCTGGTCCCTGGTTACCAGCAAAGGCATCGAGACGGGTTGTAAACGGCAGCCGGGCAGCCCCCCTCTCCCACCCACCCACAGAAGCTCACACTTCATTTTCTTCAACATCCTCAGTGTTTCAAGATGTGAGGGGTGGTTTTCTGGAGGGGGAGCCAGGCCTCTTGTTTCTTAATGGAATGTCACTTGGAATTTTTTTCTTAAAAAAAAAAAAAAAGAAAGAAAGAAATATCCTCAGACTGAAAAAGAACAACCCAAACTAAGGCCCTGTTGCTGTTTTCTGAGTGTGTGTGAGAGAGTGTGGTGGGTGTGTATATGTGGAAGTCTCTAAAAATCCACAATCATAAAAAACGACAACAGTAAGAACCACCACCAACAACAACGGAACCAGGAACAGCATGCCCTAATCTATGCGAATAAAGGCAGACTTTTGGGGGAGGGAGGGGTGAATTCGACTAAGCACAGATTGCCTGCAAGCTGGCCCCCCTTGTGAGGACTGAGAGCGCAGCTCTCAGACCAGGGACCCGGCAGGAATGCGTAGCGGCCAGATGTGCAGGTCTCTGGAGTCCGCCCCAGCGAGCAGGGAGCCTAGTGAACCCCAACTTGATCAGACCGCAAAAGCTCAACAGCACTGCCGGGATCTTATTTATCGTGGCCAGTTATCCTAATGGCAACCCAGGGCAAGGCGACTTTAAATTCTAAATGTTTTCTAATAGAAGGAAACAAACACCCTTTCCGAGACGTCTGGACTGTTTTCAAAGCCCTCTGGTTGGGTTTCTGGGCGGCCAGTCCAGGAGGAAGCAGACCCACCATAAACCCTCAGCGCTGTGGAAGGGGGTCTCCACCACACCTTTGTCATTCCCCCAGCTTGCTCTCCTGCAACTGTGACGTCTTTAAGAGCCTTGGATCTTTTAGAATTGCAATCTCTCCTGCTAAGCGTTAAGTAATCTTTGGAGCTGATAAAAGACTCTGAGGAGCTGTTAGCTGCCTCTTCAAAGTTCTTAGAATTGGTTTTCCTGTTAAGAAGTGGCCAAATCCAAATGCAGCTTTTACTTCATTCTAGTTGTTTCTCCATTGGAGAGGCTGCTACCTCTAGGGAAGATAGAACCAAATGGGCCACCAGGATGACGTTTGCCCAGCTTAGGTGTGCATGGAGGGCCGTGTGCTGCCTGCTCCGCCCACAGCTGGAGAGGGTCCTAAGAGATAGCTATCTAACTCCTGATGTTTGCTTAGGCCACTTCCGGTCATGTCAGCTTCCAGGTTTCCCCATTCTAAACACTGTTCGCCAAGCTCACTGTCCCCATAGAAGGACTAAACCAAATCCCTGTATATTAGTCTCAGTTAACTTTGAAAATAACCCTTCCTGGAAATACTTCCTGTTTGTACCTCATGCCCAAAATAACTTTGCATGTATTAGGGGCCGTTTTAGCTGAATCTGCTCTGAAACCTGAAGACAAGCACCATGTCTTTCAAGGATTCCTTTTTTCTCCCCTTTTCTCTGTTTTCCCTTTTCCCCTCCCTCCTGCCCTCCCCTCTGCTTTCCCCCCTTTTATTTCCTGCCTCCCCCCACCCCATTCTTTCCTTCCTCACTTCCAAGGAGACGGCGTAGCATAGTGATGGATCCTTGGGTTCAAGAGATGACACCTGGAGGTCCAACTCTCAGCTCTACCGCTTCCTAGAGAGGTTATTCCGGGGGCAGTGCGCGACAGCTCTGAGCCACAGTCGCCTCATCGTTCAAAGGGAATGATGCCTTGCTGGGGTTGCTTTTAGTACCAGGGAAATGTGTGTGAAGCACCTAGCATGAGCTAGCACGAGCACCTAGACAGATATGGGTAGTTTGCATTAATACCTGAAGGCCATTCTTATTATTCTTTTATTCATTTGTTGCCAAGTCCCTACCATGGTATAAATATCTTACATATATTGTTTATCTTTTCTAGCATTTCCCCAGATGTCTGGGAAATATCCTTTAGGAATTTTAGTAACGAAACTGCAGCCATTGGTAAATTAAGAAACAAGTTAACACCAATCAAACCAAAACAAAAAGAGCAAAATATCAATACGGTAGCAAGCAAAAGATTTATACATGTGAACGCAACAATTTTGATATACCCAACATTTTCTCAGGAAAATAATAATAAGTTCTCTTATTATTATACTTAAATAATAATAAGTATTACAACAAGGCAGTCCTGACTCATAAAGTTCTCTGGTGTTGATTTTTCAGAAACAACACCTATCTCTTCTAGTTTCCATCCCAAAGTCCAACTACGATTCTGGAGACCTTAGCAACATGGATCCAT